ATTTTGGGGCCTGTTTTTTTATTGAAGACCTTGGTTTCAATTCATTCCCAAGTACTCCTAAGTGTAAGAGTAGCCAAGTGACAGCACAGGTACAACATTTTCTGTATTAGTTTTTCAGTGACTCTGCCTGTAGACATGAAGCTGTGAGCCCATAAATTTCAGGCAAGTACTTTCTCACAGGAGCACAACCATTCTTGTTTTCACATGACTTAAGTTACTGTTTTGGCTTACTTTTAACTCTCCAAGCATCACACCACATAATGGTTGAAGTTAATAAAAAGTTTCCTTGTGTCATAACTGAAAGCCACACTTCTAAATTGCCTTTTTAATTTTTTTGCTTTTGGATGAAAAGCTAGTACAGAGACAGGTCCCTGTCTTCTTCACACCAGAGTTTTGTTTGGTGTTTTGTGTGTGAAATCTTGTGTTTCATTTGTGAAATCTTGTGTTTCTTTGTGACTGGCTTCGCAAAGCTAATGGGGTGAGACCCCTTATTTCTCAGGTGCAGGTGGAGCAGAGGAGCTGTTAAAGACTCCCTTGTAACCTGGTCTAAGAACATATTCCTGCAACATGGGACAGGAACATCAATTGCTGCAAGCCTAGCATGACTCATTGCACAGGTCTGCACTTACTGGATAAACCCTTTAATTACCAGGCAGTTACATAATGGTGATGAGCCCCATCCCATTTTTCACAAGCCTGTTTTTCAGGTAAGGAAATTCCCCAAACCTCAGTACTCCTTTTCTATATGCAAAGAAATGTTTAGTGGACCAAACCCAAGAATAAGTTTCTAAAACACGCATTCTCATCTGCAGCCTCTAGTGGGCTTTTGAGTTGAGATGGCATGTGGATGGCAGAGCATCCCCCTTCTATAATTTCTTGTCAGCTGTGTATTTAATTTGAATTCTTTAATTCTGTTCTCTCCATGTGAAGTGAGTTTGTCTCCTCTCCCCTTCTGAATCACGCTCAAAGCACATGTCATGACAAGGCTGATTCTCATCTACAGATCTGGCTGTGGAAGTTGGAATGGGCCAGGCTTTTTTATGTGCTCTGGAGAGATATGCTGAAGGATATTTAATAAGTACTTGAAACTTGAGTAGCAGGTGAAAACAAGTTGCTATAGATCGCTGTTAGTATATACCAAATGTAAAACTTTGAATGCTCTCAGTGTTTAAATATATTCATATTTGAGTGTGATCATGTGGTCAGATGGTGAATCCTGTGATTCAGATATGCACATCAATAATACAGTGGTTTAACATCCATTTAAAAAATGAGTATGTCAGAGAGTTTTCTCTTATTTACTTCTGACAAGTCATTAATATAGCAAATTGGATAAAAGCCCTGAGGCTGGTATTTCTTGCATTTCTAATAAGAAAGCCAAGAATCTTGCCAAGTAGCTCCATGCCTTACCTCTAGTGATAGCTATAGAATTGTCTGTTATAATTAATTTTGACAAAATGGGTTGTGTTCTTTTTAAAAGGTACCTGCACCTGTAACTATGAGTGCATGCTGATAACCCTTCTATACTGAGCAAAATGGAAGGTACTTTCCTGAGATGTTACAGACTGAAAACTCTGTTTATATTGTCACATCTGGGATTGTCAGTTTGAATTGAGGGGTTTCTTTTTCAGAATAGTTTGTAATTCAGCCTAAAACTGGCCTGGGCTTTCAATGACACTGTCCTGTGCTTATAAATCTTCTTCATCGGTGTAATTGATTTTGGTTCTGTTATAGACTTTCCCAGCTGCTTTTTATTAGAGCTGTGTGGACAGATCATTTTTCCCCCCTCCTTTTGTTTGACAGCTGAACAGGGAAGGTAGGGGAATGGAATTCCTCTCTGTTTTCCTTCCCCTTGTTAACTACACGGGGCTTTTGTATGGCCTGAAACAAAACGATTGATCTTGTCAATGGGACACCTTCAATAGAATGCGTGGAAAGGAAGGGTAAAAATCACCAGAGGAGGTGAGGAGGACGGTGATCTGTCCACCTCAGCCCCCACCAGCCATGCCTGGGTGGGGGTGGAGGGGCTCCTGTGGGGTAACTGATGAAAGGGCTGCAAGCCCCACAGCTCCTGCTTGCTTGGGCCGTCAGCAGAGCTTTTGGGAAGTACTAACAGCGTTTAGCTAAACATTTAAAATACCCTTTTGTCCCTCCCAAAATACCTTATCACATCAGTTTTGTTGGGAAATTTGTTCTGCATTGTTCATAATTAAATTTGAATTAGCACTGGTACCCACGAGTATGGTCTCTTCTGCTACACCCACTTGCAGAGTCTGACTTTACAGTTGCCTGTGCAGGGGGTTTTTTGCTGCCTTTTGGTACCACGAAATTATCCCTATGTCCAGCTCTTCCTCATGGTAACTGTTACAGTTTCCATGTTTCCTCTCTACTGTTTAAATTCACAGTTTATGAAAAAAGGGCTAGGAACGTGGTTTTGTCTCATGCAAATAATTTTTAAATCTTTGTTGTATTTAAATATTTAAACACAAATGACGCTTGCAATGAATAGCAGATTTTTGCTTTAATAAAAGTGTAACCATTCTACTGAAATAGCTGCACATGTGGAGCAATACACAAAGCACTAAGTGAAACGTTTTTTTGATTTATTCCGTGCAGCAGACGGGCCCTGGTAGTAGGAGGTGTCATTTGCAGCACATTAGCCATTAGCCGGTGTCACTGCGGGAGTGGGCGGTGTCACTGCGCGCTTGTGTCGGAGCCAGGCGCTTCTCCCCTGTGCTGTAGGATGGATTTTTTTTTTTAATTTTTTTTTTTTTTGAACGCTGTGCTGTATTTAAAACTGTGAATCTGCCAGTTTTCAACTGGGTTACTCTGTCACACGGATAATATCTAGAGTAAATGCCTTTCCCTCCCACGAATTCCGAGTTCCAAACGGAATCCTAGAGGTGTTTGACTTTCCTACCTTTTTCTGATATGCAGACCCCCGAGGATGAAGTATGTCATTTGCAGATATCCAGCCTGTAAACTTAAGAGGAAGCAAAATTGTGCTAATGATTGAGGGGATTTTTTTGGGGTACCCTATGCATGCGCTTGTGTTGTTCAGCAGAGGTTTTCCAAAAGACTGTCAGCTTGATGTATCTTTTTCGGTGTGTGCAATTTCACTTGGGTTGCTTTTAGTTCACTTTTTTCCCTGGAGGCACCTGTCTCCTGCCACATACCCATCAAGACTAATTGCACCATCTGGAAGACTTTTGTGTTGCTGTTACTTGTGCAGGGTGTCTCTGGGGAGCTTAATTCAGAATGTGGATGTGACCCCTGAAGCCATGTCAAGTAGCTGCAGTAGTTTCTAGTGTCTAAAGGATGATCACCAGAGGCTTTATTTGTTTCAAGTCTAATGCGGTTTGCTTTAGTGTGGATATGTTACATGTCAGTAACACAACATGTTTTGAAAATGGAGTTAAACTTTGACTACTGGTTGGTAATTCATAGAAAATCCCGTCTAAAACTACATCCAAACCATATGTAACATAGAGGCTGTATGATTAGGTGTAACAATGATAGACATATTGCTCCTTATTACTTGATTCTTGTGTTCTGTTCTTCCCTCCCACCCACAGCTGCACTTTTTATTAACAGTTTTCTGCTAAGAATGTAAGGTATTCATTGCTAGTGGTGTTGGAACCCCCCTGAACAGCCCATAACACTTGCTTTTGCTATTGCTACAGACTGAGCATTTTCAACACAGGTCATTTCCTTCTGTTCCTTACCTAGTCCGAATCAGGTAAAAGTGCTTCTCTTCTAGTGTCTGTCTAGGCAGTGGTTTTTAAAGGCCAGTGCTCCAGGTTCCTGTGATGAACACTTTTTATGTCTACTTTTGTAACATCCTGTCGCTTGACAAGCTGTAGAGCATTGAACATGAAAAAACAAAGTGTTCTGATTGTTCAGGGTATCACTATAATTTGCTGTTTTATTGAAGCATTATTCATTTCTTGCTATATCTCTGCCTTTAGTAATACACTGTGAGTTTACCACATACATATGTGGAAAAACCCATTTTTTTTCCTAAAACCACTTTTCTTTAAAAATGATGGAGTTTTAAATAGTGTTGAGGAAATATATTTTAATTCAGTTGCATCATCTGTATAACTTCTGTGGTTGTGAGTCATGTGGTCAACTGAAGTTCAAGCCAGAGAAGTACTTACACCACCACAAACAATTATGAATTCTGCGTACAGGATGCATACACACTATGTATTATTCATTATATGTATTTTCTGTCTTTTTCCTGGGTAGCTTAATGTTCATTGTGGCTCTGACTTTGGAAATCCATAGAGTTTTAATTGTATAACTGCCTTGGCTGCATTCTGTTAACTGTATATTGGAGCATGGTAAGAAACAAATTACATATTTGTGTGTTTGGTGAGAATAGAAATATGCAAGTTACAGATTCACAGAATGCTGAAGGCAAGCAGCTGTCCCCCTCCTCCTTAAAATCCCTCAGTGCCTGTAGCCAGTACAAAAAATGAAGGTGCATGCCACATGACCACAGTGCATGTGCCCTTGAGCAGAGATCTGAGCAGTGCGCTCTTTCATGGGTTTGAGTGGCTGGGAAGTACAGGGGGGCTGAACTAGGAAAAAATTCTGCTTTGGGAAGTTATATAGAATCTCCCTTCTACTGCTTTTTATGTTGTTCTGGTCAGGGTTGCTGTGAGCATGTTGTATCCTGAGCTGCCAGGCTCACTGGGTACACCTGACTTGTGCATGACATGAAATGCAAGAGACATGCTGCTCCTTGAAAGTAATCAAGATTTATTTCACCCCTAAATACTTGTTTTTCTCTGCAGCAGTGGGATTTCATTTTAAGTGTCAGGTAAAGGATGACAAAAGATCATGATTCATAATTGCAACTTATTTCCCTGCTAACATGAATATTAAAGACATGATAAATGGATGGCAGCCTGAGGTCTAAGTCTTTTTTTCCACTTTGGTACAACCAGTGAACATGGGTTGTGAATATGTCTTTTTGTCTTCTTCTGTTTTAGGGGTTTTGTGTACGATAGCCGAAACAATTTACAGATGCGAGGTTTGGTCGTACTGCTTATTTCCAAAGCTGCTGGACCCAGCACAGCAGAGCTCTCTTTCCAGCACGACATGGTCAGTGGAATTTATTCCAGGTATGTATGATAAGGTATATTTGATGGGCAATTTCTTGGTGGTATCAAAGCATCCTAAGTGGCCTCTTCACCTGTCAAGGAAAATCAACATTTACCTAATCACAAAGCTTTGTTCTCAGTTTTTTATTGTAAGCTTTCCACAGTGGAAACCATTTCCTACTCTTTGTGTAACTCTTATTGTATCTAATTGTGGGTTTTGGGCACAACCAAATTGAAAACATTTGGGTCCAGAGAGTTAGTTGAAAGTTTACATTAAGAGGTACTCTGAATAAAAAAAACCCTAATGCTAGAAAATATTTTTAAATAGAGTACTTTCATTTTGATTTCATCCAATGTTATTTGGGTATACCTGTTTACTCGAAATTTCTGAGTGAGATGCCAGCCTTGTGGGGCACCAGTTGGTCTCACTGAGCACTGAAGTAAGTAATGAGATCTGTTGAAAAATTATAAACTTTGAATTTTTAAAAAAATGTTTTAAAAATTGTGTGTTGCTTGGTTGAGGAAATAAGACTGTTGTATTTTTTTGTTAATTGTGTTTCTGACCTCTGTAATACATTAAAGGAAGATGTATTACAGTAGAAGAAGTAAAGAATCTTAGTGACATGTTTGTATCCTGATTTGTTTCAAAATGCAGAGGTAGTATCATAGAACTGGAAAGACCAAACAAATAAAAATTTTAAAATCTATGTAGTATCTTAAGATAACAGAGAAGGAAAATATATATGAATTAGTACAGGCAGAAATAAGTAAGAAGAAGGACAAGGCTGTAAAGCAGGCTTGTTATGGAGAGCTGTGTTGTCCTTTTGGCTGTTTAATTCCATTCTTACTTTGTTTCATCCATAATGTCCCCTTAGGGTTGTAAAATTTTTATATTTATATGCAAATGATGCTGTTTGAAAGCATAATTCTAGTTAGTTAATTATGGCACAGGAGGTATTTTAGTTTGTTTTGTAAATGATTAAAAAAGTTTACCTTAAGTATGCCTCATAAAAGGGGAGAAAAAGCATTATTTTTTTGATAACTAAGTTCTTGAGTATGATGATTCTGACCATGGAGGTAAAGTTGGAGCATTTAAAGCTGCCGTTGGGAAGGTGACTAGTGGAAGTATTCATTAAGGAGCAAATAAGACCTTGAATTAATAATGAGCCATTTGGTGTAAATGGACATCATTGGAATGATGCCAGTTCAACCAGCTGAAAATCTAGCCTAATAATCTAAGTTTGAGCAAGTCAATACCCATTATCATATCTAGTTCAGAGTTACAAAGGTATGCCAAAAACAAAGCAGTTTTGAATACACCCACACAGGTTCACTTAAGGTTCATTACTGTCTGCAAAAGTGATGACTGTGGAGTTGTTAATTTGAATGGATGTTCAATGACACTTTAGGTCCTGCAGCATGGTGTAAATACAAGCAAATATGCCACTGCATTTTTTAATTTTGTGTCATAATGGTCAGTTCTTGCCCTCTACTGAAGTCACTGTGGGCTTTGGCTTTGGTGTTCTTTCTTTATTTAAGGTACTTTCCAACTGCACTTATTTAAATATAAGTCTAATTTCAGATTTCCATTTCTCCAGAGAAAGGCAGCTTGTAAAACTGTGATCTTAAATGGGTTTTGTGATATTTTTAACATGTATTACAAGTAGTGTTTTACAAACTGCCCTCTCCCGAAGATGAACAAAAGGATGTTGTTTTCCATTAATGCATTTTTGTCTGTCTTGGTTGCAATATAATTATATATGGTTTGTGTATATTTGACATGTGTATCAAAGGCAAAGTATATCCCTCAGTGATATGAAGTAAAGAAATATGCTTAATCCTTTATTGTTTATATGTCTCCAGCTTTGGATAGTATTTTTTGGAAACAGATTCTCGCAGATTTTCAGCTCAGCTGTAATCTATACAGCTCTTTTTGTTGCCATGCCATATAATTACTTCATCTTTATATATAATGTTTTGCTGGAAATATTATTTCTGGCACTGTAATGAGCATCCTCACTGCCTGATACTTACATGCTGTGAACATTATATTGTGGACTATTAGCTGGGATATGGCTGACTTGATTTTAGGATACTTAGTAGTGATTAATTAATTGCATTTCTGAAATCTGAGCATGAGCTAAGTTGTTCCAGTACTTGTCAGCAACTGCACTAGCCCAGTCTTTCTTTTCCCAGTGTTTGTGTTGGAACCAGTTCTTGTGCTGTATTTAAATATTCAGTCCTGCAGTAGATAGCCAGGTTACATCAGTCCTTTGTAACTGGTACTACACTAAATATACAATCTGTGAGCAGGAAGATGTAACACTGTGATAACCATTTAATTTGAAAAAACACAAAAAAACCATGGTGGACCTTTTCATCCTGGAATTTGGCACATTCTGCATAACCTCTTCTCACTATTTCATATTCTTAAATGACAATAAAGTAATACAAAAATTAAAATTAAAACAGAAAGATACTAAGAGCTAAATTTGGAATAGAAAAAAAATCCTATTTTCTTGTTCTCTAGATATATCAATTCAAAGGACAATTGACCTAAATGTATAAAAATAGATAATCTAGCTTTCTAGCTGGCATCTGTTTTTGACTGCTACACAATGGAACAAAACCAATGCCTGCTACCAGAGAACAGTCTTTCCCAGAATAATGAGGATTACAATTTAGGTAGTTACAGGAGCAGGACTAGTGTAGTTAAATGGTGCTGCCTCTGGCCAGCATTGCCTGCAGCTTTAGCACTTCATAATTTGCAAGAGTCGTGATCTGCCTGCATTAATCTGGGGCCGTGGGGGTCATTGTGTGCAAGGGTATCATAGTAACTGCTGGTTGCCTTATGAGCCATGCTGAAGATAAGGGAGGAAGTGTTATAAAAGCCTGCCTGGCATGCTTTGTGCTGTACAGCCACCTCCCTATCGTGTTGGCAGCAACCTGACTTTATTCCTGTTGGCAAGGAAAAGAACCTGGCTTTGCTTCCAGCTCAGCACCAGTGATCCCAAAAGAGGATGAAGAGAAGTAGCAGCATGATAAACAGCTCAATTTCAGCTGCTGGACAGATTTCCTAAATAAAAACTTTCTGCTGGTCTCTTAGCATTAAAGAAAATATTTCCTTGGCTACAGAAGCATTGCAAATATAAGGATCAATTGTAGTGCTTAGTACAGAGTATGCAAACAGTATCATGTAAGAGTTGATGTCATTGCCTGTGCTCAAGCAAAGCATGCATTCCATATTCCCTTGAAAGTCCTTACTCCTGTGCTGAAGAGAAAGCAGAACTCACATTTGGGTTTAGGCAGAATCAAATTAACAATAATTTATCATGCTAATAGTATCAGAGAGTACCTCAGATGTGACACAGGAGGCTAGAGCTTCATGAGGGCTTTGAGATCCATTTCCTAGCTGGTGATTATACTTGAGTCTGACACTGCATTGCCTCCTCTCAGAGCAAAGTTCACTTGGATAGTGAAGTATGCAGCTTGCTGTTATTTTACTTTGCTGCTGGAAGTGAGGTTTGTAATTGAAACTCCAGGACCATGTGGTTTCTGAACACTGACAGCTTTATGCTTCATGGTGGAGCTGCATTCTTGCAGTTGAAGATACCAAGACTGGCTTGGGTCCTCTGTCAAAGTACCCAAAGGGGTATCTTTTTCTGTGCATGTCTGGCACTGCCAGACACTACTGCCTGGGGACTGAGGGTTCTCCTTGGCTTTATATTGAGTAATGAATGCCTGACATAGCCTCTGTAATGCAGCTTAAAATGTAAGTGACACCAAAGAACAAACTTGGGCCATCTCTTCAGCCCTCAGCATCCTTGGCTCTAGCACAGCAAGTTATTTTCTTCTGTTTTGCCTTTTTTTCTTTTGTTGTGTTGGTGTTTTTTTTCTCTATTAGTGCCAATTTTAAAAATACCCTCTAGTATTGACATCCATTGAGTCAGCTCTGCAGATTCTCTGTTTTGCCTTTTTTCTTTTGTTGTGTTGGTGTTTTTTTTCTCTATTAGTGCCAATTTTAAAAATACCCTCTAGTATTGACATCCATTGAGTCAGCTCTGCAGATTTCCTTGGATGCTTGTCAGAGGTTTAAAGCAATCCTTTTTTCAGTCAAATCTTCCCGGGCATCCACACTGGTGGATCCTATGGCCATTGACAAGCAAAGACCTTTTAGTCAATATGGAATATTGAATTTGCAGTATAGGAAGTACTATTTCAGTTCTGTACTATAACCTGGCAAATCTAGCAGATATTGCTGGATTTGGGCTACCAGTACTGGACTCTGTCCTTGCACCTTCTTCCTCAGGATGATGCAGCTGACCTTTACAGCTCCAGGAATTCATCGCTTTGCAAGCTGAACATGCTTTACTACAAGAAGGTACTGACTGGATAAACACTTGTCTCTGAATCAGAATCCTTCCTGCTGCTTGGAAGAGTGGTGGCAATACTGTAGTGACAGGAATCATGAACATAGATACCTTTTCCATAGTGTTTTAATGATTATTTTGGAAGAACATTGATACTGCTTCTAATGAAAGCCCAGTTTAAGAGTAAGTTGGCAGCAGATGCCAACTCCTTGTTATGGTGGTGGGTCTTTTTCTTGTCATGTTCCAATACTAAGTTGTTCTGAGTACCCGTTTTTGGAGGTGCACACACACACAGGGATCACAGAGTGATTTCACGTGCTCTTTGTCATTGTGGCCATATCACAGTAATTTTCTTCTAACGTACTAAGTTGTTTCTGGGTACCCATTTTTGGAGGTGCACACACACACACAAGGATCACAGAGTGATTTCACATGCTCTTTGTCATTGTGGCCATATCACAGTAATTTTCTTCTAACCTACTCCAAGGAACACGTAAAACTTAAATCCAGATCTTAACCAGAGGATTCATTCACCCTTAGGTTTCTTTTTCTCTGAATGTTTCTTTGATTGAAAAGAAGTCAGAGAGGGTAGGTGTCTTTCTAAGGACTGTAAGGACAGAAGACATACTGCTCTGTCACTCTGCAGTTCCA